CCAGTTTTAATATTAGAGGGGGGGCCCTTTAATAATAGGGGGAAGGGATTACATACATACATACATACATACATACATACATACATACATACATACATACATACATACATGTCTGTGTGTATGTGTGTGTGTCTATTTGTAAAACTATCTTTTTCACATGTCCAAGGCACAAGTTTCGCAGACCCTGTAGACGCGGCCAGCCGCGGCGCACAAAGTCTGACAGCTCGAAAATGCCTTCTGCCCAAGCATGGGAGATGAACACCTGCAGACGATGACTAGCGCAACTACAGCATGAACATCTGTGCATCAAAGTTACAACAATGTAACAAGAGTAGCAACAGAACTGCAGGATGACGTCGACGACAACTCCCACTACCAGTATGGACTTAGTAAGTAGGGTTATAATTAAGGCAACTATACTTATAAGCCCGAAATTAAGGGCCTTATAACCTTATTTACTAAGCCCCATGATCCTCCAAGTAAGCCCTAACCCTAAACCCCTAAACCCTGAACCTTAAACTCTGCGGTTACTTTAAAAGGGCGATCCTCCAAGTGGCCTGGCAAAGGAGTCCCTCGGCATGCTTCATCAGGGCGTAGCTCATGCCGCCGGCCGCGCGGGTCAAGGGCTTCACGTAGTGTTCGTTCACCTACCAAAACGGTTAGGGTTTAGGGTTTAGGGTTTAGGGTTTATAAGGGATCCCAACGCAAGCCATCGTCCGGAGTTCGGGGTGTCGAGTCAGTCGAGTCGGTTTGGATTCAGGTGCATCTCGGCATGTTAGTATGCGGTATATGCCCGCCACCCCCCTATCCTGATCCTTAGGCCAGTTTGCTCTGAAGCTCGGGGGTCAATCCAAGTGAGTTACGGGCATGGGGGGCTTTAACGCAAGTTATCTGGCCTCCTGAAACAAAGCGTAAACAAGTCGGACCAGAATTCCACCCCACGATGAACGGTCAGAACCCACACCCGAGACCTTGCCCAAGTCTGCCCAAGCGCTAGACTCTTTAGTTCGTGTGGCTTGTAATTAGTACAGTATATCATTGCATGGGCTATCTGGTCTGCTTCCTGCGCTGCTCGCCCTTGGGCGCAGCCCCTGGACTTCAGGACTCAGGGTTTAGGGTTTAGGGTTTAGGTCCTTCGAGTGCACCTTGTCTGCATCTAAGCAGTTTCCGGCTAACTGTGTTGGACCCTTTGCCCTCCAGAGATAAAGGCCCGAAGCAGTGAACATAAGGCTGCAGAAGTAATAGCTCAAAGCCAGATCAACGGACGGCACATCGCTAGATCTTCTTAAGACACGAATAGAGGCTCCTACTGATGCTCTCTTTTTCCTTGAGTCACAACAAGCGAGGTCGAACACACAAGCAAGGCCAGCTGCATTCGAAAATCCAGCAAGCCAAAGTTGACCCCAAGCCGCCAGCTTTAATTTACTTGTTTCCTGAAACCGCCAGCTTCGAAGAGCGGCTTCCTGTAATATAGGAAATAATTGCCTATACTTGGCGGGTTCCTTACTATAGTTATAGTGTAATATACCCCAACACCCTATTCCAATTTCTAAGGCGCCTATAGTACCTTGTCTGATTTTAAGGCGCCTATAGCACCTTGTCTCTTTATCTGGGTCTCACCATGTTCAATCCAGGACTTGCCGCCCAAACAAGGTCAGAATATAATATGCACGCAGGCAAACACACACACAGACACACATACACGCACACAGATATGTATATATATATATATATATGTATGTATGTATGTATGTATGTATGTATGTATGTATGTATGTATGTATGTATGTATGTATGTATGTGTATATATATATATATGTATGTGTGATGCCTGGTACAAGTTTGGCCCATGTCGGGGATCTCCGTGGCGGGGGTTGCTGCCCCGATCGTCTTCGGGCACTTTGCCGTTGGTCCAGGCTTGCCTCACCTGTTGGAGGTGCTACGCTTAGTGCCGTGTTATATTTAGGGCATGTCTTTAAAGGTACATCAGCAATTTGGGAATATCAACATCGGGTTCACGGCATATAGGATACAATAGGGTGTAGGGCATCTTAACGCAAGGTTTCGGGCTTTAAGTCTTTAAGAATCAAGGATTTAGTTTGCTGGGTGTCCTTCATTCAGAATTTGGGTGGATTTGGGAGATTCCAGCTATGACACGCCAAGCTTGGGAAAGCTGAGGGTTTGCGGTTGAGCTTGGGTCTCGTGTTGACAATCCGTTGTTCATGTTTCAATGTAGGCACAGACCGTTGCCCAGGTGAACAAGAAAGCTCGATGTTGTTCAAATGTAGGCTCGACATGTGGCATGCTTCGAGCATAGTCGTGGGAACGTGCATAACCATCCAAGTGCAAGCTTTGCTATGCTGCGTGCTACAGAAGCATGAGACCTATCACTTGGGCCACTCTGGCCAAAGCCCGTGCCTCGTGTACGAAGGTGTAGAATTCTGCGAGTGTGATGCACCACCTCTCCGGTGGAACCCGCATCTGCACCTCCATGGCTCGACTTTGTCGAATGCCCTGTGCGAGGTGAGCACGGGGCCTTGGGCTTAAAACGCAGCTGAGCACATCCACGCGCCTTTAGCAACAACACCACCCCAAAAGGAGGCAGCTACCAGTATGGCGAATGGCAGTAGACCCCACGAGCTTTTTTTCTCGAGTCCGATGTCAGGCTTTGCATCAGAGCCGTCCCTCAATTCTCGAAGATTGGGGCTCAAAAGCACAATGCCCAAGTGAGCTTTGCTCGAAGCAAGCCCTCGGTGTCACTCAAGCAAAAAGACCTAGACCTAAACCCTGTAAACCCCAAAGGGCCGAAACCCTCAACCCTAATCCCCGAGAGTCAGTTGTTTGGATTCCGTGAACCTGACAGCCCGGAGCCGCTGGAGTCCGATGCCTCCGTTTCAGAACCGTCGTTGCTAGGCGGGCCTGCAGCAAAGCAAGGTCTAGGCCAGGGATTTACGGCTTATAGCGCAGGGTACGATTTTACCGTGCTGCCCACGAAAAATTGAAGGCGTGATACAACAATCGCCCGGCAACTTTAGACGATCATCTACGGAGATCACTTCATACCAGGCGACTCTATGAAAGTAACATTCCCGTACCTCCAAGCTTTAGTTGGAACGACAAGTAATGAACCGTTAAACGAGGCAGGGTAGCCGTAGTCGCACAACCCGGCCACTGCGAGCTGCGCGCGGAAAACCTGCCGGGCAAACTACCCGCAGGCCCCATAGTTGTTCCTTTTGGGGGTTCATATTTAGAATCCTATAAGGTAATCCCAAGAAGGAACTACTATGAGGCCTATGGGCAGGAAGCCGTTTGAACCAATCCCCCGTCACGATGAGAACTCCTCCCGAAAGCTAAGCCCAGTTCCACAGCCAAGCTTCCCAAACACAAGGCCGGTCGAGGCTCGTGAAACTTCGACAGCCCCCGCCTAACATCACGAGGTTCAAGGAAGGCCTCAACTCCGGGATCTGTCCCGGAAAACCCAATTTCCCACTGTAGCTTACTGTGCTTGGGCCCGGCGTAGCTCCAAATGTAACTCTAGCAACGGCAACCAAATTTACAGCTGGCAGGGCTTCTTCGAGCCTTTCCAGGACCCAGCACAGCAAGTCCAGTGCCGAGTAGAGCCAGCGCTGGACGGAACCAGGTGATCATGATCCTGCCCCACACCCTCAACCCATCGGTGTGGCAGGCTAGTTAGGTCGCTTGGCAGGTTCAGGGTCACAGGTTCAGAGACTTAGATGGCACAAAAAAAAGGTTTGTACGCTTTGCTTGAGCTTGATCCCGGATGATGAGCCGGGATCTTGGGTGGTAAGGACATGAGATGGTGGCTGTACGAGGATGAGCCCTTCGAATATTTTGCTTCTTCTGCTCCTGGATCTACGTACAGTATCTTGGTCTTGCAGTAGCCATGAGCAGCCTCTGGGTATGCAAACAGAGTGACCGATGCCATAAGATTAACTGCATATGCGTGGCGGTGAACCCAAGATCTCACTCTAAGGCGGTTATTAGCTGAATGCACAATTAGGGCCTCACACTCCGACATCCATCGCACCAAGACTACTGAGTAGAGTCTAGGAGTTTAGGCGAACCTACAAAACTAAACCCAGGAGTGCCTCAAGTTCAGGAGGGTGAGAATGTGGGGGAGATGTTGAATGCCAGCAAGCTGCGAGCTTTGCTGGCAGTGATTTGGGAAGGGTGCTTGCCATTTGTGTAACGCGGCTGCGCGACCCTGAACCGGAAGCTCGAAACACACTCACAAGAACCTTTTGCCAAGCTAGCAGCTAGATTCAGCTAAATACTTCACTTTATTCAGGTTTTAGGTTTCACTATGCGCCGTGCTCGTGCTGTTGCGAAATAAAAAACCAGCATGGCCTCAGCAGGGGCTCTGGGCATTGTTCCGTCAGTGGCGCGGCCTGCCGCAACCCCGTGATGAGAGACCTTGCAAAGCGCAGTCACAAGCCCCGCCGAGTGCAAGGACAGGAAAACCTCTCTCTGCAACATACCTGCAGCTCCAACACAGATGCTGTTATTCAAAGCGCTGGGGTCATTACCTACTGTTTCGTGGGTTTGGGGCCCGGCAGGTCTTGGACGTGGTTTGACTTGTAGATTCGGACAAGACTGCGAAACTGTTTGGGTGTCCAGCACTACAGCCGGTAGAGGATCAATTCCATCGTCGAAACATAAGCGAAGGAGACACAGCCTAGGGTCGATCACCTGCAGAAATGGAAGCACAAGACCTCTTACGGTAACTGCTAGAGCTGCCAGCAGACAAGTAGTGATCCCCAATGCCCACGAAGACAGGCACACCAAGAGCCACCATGGCAGAAACCGTCCAAACTCTGACCTCGCAGTGTTCAGCACAGGCAAATCTTACAGCACTTGCCACCCTGGAAAGACGTAACGTGACTTGAGCTTGCACTTGCTCCGCGGTCTCTACTGCATGGGCTGTGGGGCAGGGGATGGTTATTCATACGAATGATATGCACTATGAGGAGAAGAGACAAAACCAAGGAGGCTCGGCTCTATATGCGAAGTACTGAGGTTCTCTGTAAAGGCAACTGCTTCAATGTCAGTCTTTAACTAGGTGGTCCTCTTTAATCCATCCCGACCGGGGCTGATTCAGAATCTTGGCATTTTTACTCTCAGCCACGGTTTACGGTTGAGGGTTTTTTTCCCCACCCTAGGGTTTAGGGTTTAGGGTTTAACCAAATTCGGCCAGGCATGTGATGTTGCACGTTGCTTGCTGATCTAATGGGGAAGATGAGGTCGGAGACGTCTCCTTTTAGCAGGCCCCAGCCTTGGTCGGGTTTGGGGAGGTGTCGGATGAAGGAAGACGTCTGCAAAAGAGAAGGCTCTGGTCTTGGTGATAATCATATGTACTACTACTGTAGTACGCACCCTTCAAAAACAGCTTATTTCCCTTCTACAGCCCTGGACATACCACCCCGATTCGGCCCGATGCCCCTCTGAAGACTCTATCTCCCTCTCCAGCCCCGGGACGCAGCACCCCTGGATTCGAATATAGCGAGTTGTGGTGTGGAGCACACTATCCAGGGTTGGCCGTAAAACTGAATGAACATGTCCACAGAATGCCTTGAACATTCATTATCTTGCGAATTGCCACTGTCTTGCTGCAGCCTGAATGCAGAAAAAACGGCGCGCTCTGGCCCGTAGCGCTCCAATACGAAGGCCGTTATGGGAAGAGCGAGTGCAACCAGAGCACAAACCCCGATGGAAACATCTGTCCAGACGCTGTCCTTGTCAAAAGCAGAAGCAGTCTTCGCCATCGTACAGCAACAAGACATGAGCCGCCAACTGTCAATTACCACATACTCGCACGACTCTTGATCGTCGTGTTGACAATTTTCCAAGCCCCCGGATCAATACACGTAATCATGCCAGACAGGAGACAGCATCTGCGCATCGGACCGCACAGCTGCGAAAGCCCAGCGAATGCCTGGACCGAATTTCAAGCCCTTCCTCTGAATCTATACCCGTGTTTCGCCTTGGGCAGCTGATTAAACCAATGCGAGGGGGCGAGGGGAATGAACGCCAACATAACGGACCCAACGAGCTGAGAACAACGAAAATGCAAACATCTCACACGCTGCACCACAAAACAGAAGGATGCCATGGAGGTGCACAAGACGATCCGGCGCCCCGACCAGGGAGCGCATGCTCTCTCTCTCTCTCTCTCTCTCTCTCTCACACACACACACACACGAACACCGGGCCAGCCCGCAAAGCTGTTCTCACGTGCTCGGAGGAACTCAACTGATAACATCAAACTAGAACGATATGAAGGGGAGCCCTCAATAGGCTCAGTTTGCCTTGTTGCTGATTTGACTAAGAACGAAGCCAAGGGCCACCTGGAACCTGCAACCTTTGAATCTACCGACATCTGACTCACCGACTTGTCAAGCGAAACCGAAAAATCATTGATGCATCAATGCACGGCTTACATGATGAGTACGTCACAGACGATCTGCAAGTACAGGATCAAGCATCCTTGATCCCTTACCGACCTTTGGCAATACGAATCTCTGCAAGGGAAGCAAACAATCCATCTCCGGTCCAGTTGCAGTGCCGCCAGGGCCCACAGTGTGAAAGCGAGGCCCGTCTTTACAATGAGGTCGGAGGTCCCGAAACCTCCGGGTGGTAAGGCTTCAAGGCAGCTTTAACGATGTGGGTTTAACTCTAAACCCTCAACCTTTGCGGCTTTTCGCGATTTCACTAAGACTTCCGGCATGCTCCTATGCCCTTGTTTTGGGGCCGGGCCTTGATGGCGTGAGGGTTTTCAGGTGATGCCCGGCTTTAAGCTTGCAAGGTTTGTAGGGTTTGGAAAATGAGAGACAAAGCACGAAATTGGTGTGAATTTCGAAACAAGCATATGGGTGCTCCCCTGATTTCGGGGAGCAGTCCTCGTCCAATGGCTTCTATGTCCTGATCTTGGTCACAGAGATGTGCACGCAAGGAATAGGTGACGAGTTCGGAGGGCTTCATGCAGCCCCCATAGCACTCCTTACTCAGCCAGTTGCCTACTTTAGTACTCGGCCTCTGCATCGAAAGGACTAGCTGTGTCTCATTAACCTTCCCAGGCGCCTCGAATGTCCACCCCAGCTTCGTATGCCCATCGAAGCCAATCGTTGTAAGCGCCGGCCCGCATAAGAACTCGTATCGTCACATCTATCTCGTCCTCAATGATCTCAAAGTGTGATCTCATGACGTGAGAAACGTAAGCCGCAAGGCGGCCTCTCAAAGCCCAGAGAACCACAACAAAGGCGACTGCCCACTGTTTCTTTTGTGCCTTGTACTTTTGCTCACAAGGCGCTTGTACACTAGGACAATTCGCGAACCACAAGAAGTTCAAGACAACCCAACTTTTGCATGTCCCCACCTGGTCCCAGCATCCCAGAGGCTAGCTATGGGCACGGCTTCACCTAGATGAGCTAAAAAGGCAGTCCGGCCTATGGGCCTAAAACACTAGAGCACATGTACAGCTATGCTTTTTCAAAGCCTACATTCCGCAGTAAATCGTCTCCTCGCATCCCAAGATGGCAGCGCGAATCCTCTGCTCGTCCTGGGCTTTCGTGCAATCGTTTCGTGGTTCGGACGTGTTGGGCTGCAAAAGAGACCTGTAGTTTTCCGCTGGATGACGAATACTTTCCTCACAGGCTCGGGTCCTGTTGGCTTCAATGCTTCTGGGTTTTCGAATCAACTGCCGTGTTAATTACGGATAAGTGTTGAATCCTCCCTCCGGTTCAAGGCTAAGGGCCTGGGGCCCTAGTTTCCAGCAAGTTTCAGAAGGGTCCGAGCACGTCGCATCGGCGACAGTATCACATTCCAGGTGGCTTGCTTGACGGGAGAGCTCCTGATGGCAAACGGCAAACGGGCTGTCGGGAGTTCGAGGCATGCTGGGGCTCGGAGAATTGCACCATGCTGTTTTCAAGCTCAAACAACGGGCTGAGGAAGGTGCCTTTAGCTCCAGCTCATGCTGGTTCAGCTGCACGATGCGGAGCAAGTTGACAAGGATCAGGACGATGGGAAAGAAGTAGTGCTGGAAATAATAGAAAGCAGATGGCAAGACTGGCTTGAAGCTTACCCAAGGAAGGAATGAGAGCGCGCAGAGGAACAGCAGCAGCATATGCCCGATACGCACGAACTTAAAGTGGGTCTGCCATGACCACCTGCAAAACTTCAGCAGGATAGACACCACGAAGCAAATAGCAGTTCCAGTCGCGCATAGAAGCATTGCTGAGGCCACCAAGAAGAAGTTATCATCTCGGATCTCAGTCTGGGGCAATATCAACCACCAAAACATGCCTGACAGAACTCCAGCTGCCATTGGAGCCAACAGAGTTCGTCTGATGGTGCCGCACTGAGTGGAGGTGTGCGGCCGAGCCGGCATGATGCAAGTTTTCTTCCAGCATGCACCTAGGTAGGCCTCGTAGACGCACCACAAACCTTGGGCAATGATGATTGCGAATGCGACTTCAAGCTGTGCCTGAACAGCATGCGTCCAGTATGGAAGCCAAACGCTGAGACAAAAGATAAATAAAGAAAGAGAGAAAGAAAGAGAGAGAGAGAGAGAGAAAGAGAGGGAGAGAGAAGGAGAACGAGGGGAACAGAGGGACGAAATCTGGATAAGTTGGGAGAAGCTAGATCATAATGCAGCACACCGGACCAAAGAAATGGACGATTGGAGGCTGCTCAAATGCCTGCTGCCGCTGCTTGTTCGATTACCACTGCTAACTCTTTCATCACTGTGGTTTCAACGTTAGTTTATCCAGGTGGCGCGTGTAGATCCCGACACTGTGGTTCGGGATGACAAGCACATGGGAAGCAGCTTGCATGGCCTTGGCGAAGGGGCTCTCCATCGGCGGCACATTGAGCAACACCGAAAGATCGAGATTCTGCGGGTTTGCCAGCAGACAGCAGTACCTTGGATGATCCGTCTAGTAGCGGGAACTTCGAGAACGTCGTCATTTCTTGACATAGAAAATCGAGAATCTCTGATTGCAGCTCAGCCTGCAAGCTGTAAAGGAACTGAAGCCGCGGCCAGCCCCGGCGTACCTCCGGCTCAAGCACAATGGCACTGGACTGACTGGGTCTGCTGTAAACCTATATGACTTTCACAGAACCTGTTTTAAACAGCAGTATCAGAAGCAGGCGAGATAATGCTGCGACTCGACTACTGCAAGTAGATACATGACAGTGGGACTGAAACAACGCTCCTGCGCAAATGATGCGGCCCTGCACAAGGAACGCTCCCTGCTCGGGTCTTGATGTCCGGTACCAACTCTTAGACTTGCCAGGCGCAGTGTGTCGTATGCAATATGCTGGAGTTTGAATTTCGGGTCCAACTACGCATGGGGGTTGGGATGCTCGTCTTTCCAAGGGGGATACGCGAGTTCGAGACATGCATGCAGGGCCACCAAGGTCACATCTTTGGAAGCTGGTAAAAAACTGGCAACCGACGGCAAAATGGCACGAGGTCATCGAGCTCGAAGATGCCCTCTGCCCAGGCGTGGGAAATGAAGACCTTCCCGGCGATGGCCCCAAAAAGCTTATGCACATGATGTGAACATAGCTTGGACCATGTCCTGGTCTTCGGTTTTTGCATGAGGCATCTTGATGTTCAGGACCCAGGATTTGCTGAGATATTTTCAGGCGATGAAGCACTCAACGAGTTGCGCTCGGGCTTGGCGCTTCTGAGCCGGCATGTCCCAACCTATGCGGGGGTCCTGGATGAAGGGCGGGACCAGTGCTTCAGGATCGCGGACGAGATCTCACAATGAAACCTCCTTCGGACAGGACCTCACCCTAACCCCCCAGGAACCTGCTATATAGGGTACTTGAGCCCCTAGGGACCTATATAGGTACCTGGGAGGCCGGGCATTAGGCCAGGGACCCCTGTCTTGCCACCGGCTTTGCAGTAAGGTTTCAAATGGGAACTGACCCCTATGTCTGCTTGAAGGATCATGGGACTTAGTAAGTAGGGTTATAATTAGGGTAACTATATACTTATAACCCCGATTAAGGGCCTTATAACCTTATTTACTAAGCCCCATGATCCTCCCCAAGTGGCCTGGCAAAGAAGGCCCTCCGGGTGTTTCATCAAGGCGTAGCTCATGCCTGAGTCCCCAGTTCACGGTTTAGGGTTTTAGAGTTTAGGGTTTTAGGGTTTAGGGTTTAGGGTTTTAGGGTTTAGGGTTTAGGGGTTTTCGACAGTTTCGGAGCCGTGGACCGGCTTCGGCCATATGTATATATGATGCAAGGCTTAGTTTCTAGGTCGGGGTGAAACAAGAGGTCGAGCTTCGAGACTTAAAGGGGGTTCTTGGGGAGTCGGTACGACGGTGCATTTTTCCCAGCTCCTGCTTGTTCGTCTCCTAAGCGGCCCAGCCATGCAAACAAGGAGCCCTTCAGCAATCTCACGCCCGGCCCCTCAACGTGAACCAAAACTTCCAAGACCGCGGCTACCAAAAAACAAGTGTCGCCCACCCAACCAAACAAGTGCAGGCTAACGGCCTCCGGCGGCACTCGTGACGGGCTTCACGTAATGCTCGTTAACTTGGTAGAGGTTTGGTCCATACCTGTGGCAGAGTAGGCAAGCGATCGCTTCTTTAGCTCCTGCAAAACCGAGGTCGGCACTAAGCATCCAGGGACTTCACAAGTGTGCGGTTGTCAATGTTTCGGGCTTACAGCGTCTTTGCGAAAGCAGCCAACATTCGCAGACTCCATGCAGGATTCATGAAAACATCCATGTTATGTGGTATACTGTTGGCTCCACTTCAAGCTGAAGTCGAAACCTGCGTATCAGCGCGGTGTTGGAACACATGACTCGACCACATAAAGCCCGTTGAGCTCAGGGCTCCTTTGCCGGGATGTGGCTGAGGTTCATAGGCTGGTGGTGCCACGGTATGAAGCAGGGTTTATGTCCAAAGCATATAACTTCATATAACTATTCACTTTTTGAATCCGTTCTGACCGGAGGATGACATTACAAACATACCTAAGCCCTTGAACGCGATCCATAACCCTGAAGACCCAAACCCTAAACTCAAAGCCAAAATCCCAACCCGCCTCGAGTCGCCACACCGCCCGTGGACGTCCTCGCCAGGAGGAGGCAGCTCGCCGCGAGACCAAAGTTCCCTCACCTGCTTGGGTTGTAGGGCAGGTTTCCGGGTTTACGGTTTCAGGGTTCAGGGTTTCTGGGGTTTAGGGTTTCGGCGCTCACACTCGGACACTCTAGGCGAGGCATATAGTTCGAGGTTACGGACTTCAGCACTCACACTCGGACGAGGTTTAGGGTTTAGGGTCCTTGTGCTCAGGGATGCTGTTCGGGTGGACGACTATGTACACACAACATACCTCTAACTAGTAATGTTCTTAATGTACGGACACTGCAGCCGCTGATTCGGAGTTTCAAGCGCCTCCTGCACGAAGGCATGGAACTCGCAACGGGTGAGTCCCCAGCGCTCTGGTGGCACGCGGAGGTGCAGGTCCATGGCGAGCTGACAAGGTCGGTTTGTTTATGTGTAGAATGAATGAGCTACTGTATGATGGATGTGTAGACATTTCGGGGAAAAGAAAGATTGCATAAGTAAGCTAACTGCTACACAGGTACTTTGGAGGATTCTGGTTTGGGATGTGGGGCTTTGGACTGATGGAAAGCCAAAAGGAACCTCATATCTAGGGCATATATATATATATATATACATATGTATATATGCGCTTGGAACATGCAACTGCACCCCCACAGAGACATGTCTGTACCTGTTCCATGCATACCTGTACCTTTGTACATTCGGGGTCTCAAGTCGCGGCATTTGGGCTTCTGCGGGGCGAAAAATCGGGGCACAGAGCTTGGTCTAAAGGTACCAAACTGAGGGTCTGAGACTCTAGTCATGTGCTAGGCCGCTAGGCTAATGCTGTTACAAAGCCACATGTATCCAGAACAGGGATCGCCGCTCCGATGTCTTTTGCAACGTCAAGTTGGCCAGGTCTTTGCGCGAAAGGATTGCTTCGCGATACATGGCGCAGCAGCAACATTGTGTGGGGACCCGCGCAGTCGCCAAACAGGAGGCAAGAAAACACGTTGCAAAAATAATTACTAGAACGACTGTGGGCTGGATGCGGCTGCCTGCTGTGGACTGGCGTGGCCACTGGGGAGTACATGGGCCGTCGAGACTTCTCCAGGCTTCGTCCCTGCAACATTTTGTGGCGAGGAGTGAAGCCAAGCGGGACGAAGTATCTTCAAGCAAAGACACTCCAAGATCAGGTATAGTTAAGTCATCTACCTGTTCAAGCCTCCTTCGTCACACAAACATAAAGGTAGCAGTAGGCGAATGGTTGCTGCTACGACGACTACGGCTGCGATTGCGACGGCCACTACAATAATTACTGCCACAACTACGACGACGACTACTACTGCACTACCACGACGACGACGAAGCCGGCCACCTACCACGACTATACGACTGCGATTCCGACCACGACGAGAACCGCTCCTACTGCTGCTGCTAACACTAATCCCGCCACTGCTACTGCTACTCCTACTAC